GAAGAGTCTCCAGAGGATCAGAGTCCAGCTGGACTATGACATGGGGGAGGTGTCCTTCTACAACTCTGAAGACATGATTCCCATCTGCACTCACAGAGACACTTTCACTGAGAAACTCTTTCCTTTTTTCAGTGTTGGTCCAGCTGGAGACGCTAAAACCTCTGATATCAAGATCTGTTAAATTTTTGGTGAAACAGTTTTAATTAATTTCCTTTCAAATACATAATATGTCTTTAATTAAACAAAAGATACTAACTCAAAATGTTGGTCTTAAGTTGAGCAGGAGACACAAAAAATTGGTGTAAAAAAATATATCAATCATTAGTTTATGTTGAAAAAAACTTTGAGCTTTGAGTTCTTCCAACTATTATTCCATCAACTTCTCATTATTGTTGGTCTGTATCTTGTATCTGGATTTACATTTGAAACTTTTCAAACCTTAGAAACAAATCAACAGCACAATTTTGAATTGATGTTAGAAAATATTCAGACTTTTATGTTCTTTGTGTGTCTGTGTGTAATGATTCTAAATACACACGTACAGAAGTAACAGCATTTTCTCTGAAGAGTTTCTGAAGCTGTTCTGTATGTTTTCTGTCAGTTTCTGTTTTATTATAGGAAGGAAAATAACAGTGATAGACATAAATAAGTTTAAAAGAAAGGTGTCACTGACAGAGGATCAAAATCTTGTGGTTCAGTAAATCAAATGATGTCAAATGATTGATGATCAAATGATTATTTCATGTTTGTATACAGATCATATGAGGACAATATTTGTTATTTGTTCATATTTGTTATCCCTGATCGAAAATGAACATGTAAAGATGTGATAAACAAGCTATTTTTATATTAGAGAAGAACTGTAATAGTTTCAAGTGGAGTGCTTCTTAAAAAGGTATGTTCAATTTTGTTTTCCAAGTTAATAACAACAGTGATTAAATCTAATGAAGAGTAAACTTCCCTTTGTAAATAAATTCTTCATCACACATTCTGTACTGACTGAGTTTGTTTCAGAGCCAGTTTGTTGTTTTATACGGAGAATATATGTTTAAACAAAAGTTCACCAACTGTGAGGTAAAGAGTGGCTCCAATCTCTCATATTATATGGCTTTATTAAATACATTTGAGCATCAACCTTTAGAGTTCAAGATAAACCCCAAACTTTACCCAAATGTACCATTTTTAAAAACTGACGCTAGTCAGTCTGGTTTAAGGAGTTTTTAACTCTCTAAAGACTTCATTCACACGGTGCTTTGTCGTGTGCTGCCATTATGTGATTTCTATGTGGGATAATTCCAGAATATCACAGCACAGTTTGCTAACAGCTAACCACCGGAGCTAAGCTAGCCGAATAAAACGTAAACAAATAAACGTCACTTCCGCCTTGAGCCTATTGGTCCGTTCAGTGAAACGTGAGAGCGTCCGCCATCTTGGATTTGGCAGAACAGCCCGTAAACTAATAAAATGAAACTTTATAGTTTTGTATCCATAAAGCGCCTTTTTAGAAAGTGCTTTAAGTTAATGAACCTTATTCTCCCGTTCACACTCACACTAATATATCTGGGAAGCAAATTGGCACCAAAAAACGTCTGTAACTTTTAAACTGATGATTCTA